AGGCTCCGCCTTCCCGGCAGTAGCCCCTCCCCTTCCCCCCCCACGGAGCGCGGCTAGAAAGGGGGGGAGGGAAGCCCACGGGTGGTGGCCCCCCCAGCGCCCCTCCGTGCCCGAGGGCGAGGAGTTCTGCGGGACTCGGAAGCTGGCACCGTTTGCTGGCCCTGGATAAGCAAGCAAGCAAGCAAGCAAGCGGTGGCTCCTCTTTCCACGGGGGCGGGGAGGGGGACAAAGCTTCGTGGAGGGAGACCGGTGTGGCCCGGAAGAGTCCACGGACGCGGTCAGAGAGAGAATGAGGATATTCCTGCTGTATTTTTCGAGGGCTGATGAGCTCCGTGGATCTCGGAAGGAAAAATCGCCTCCTCCTTGCCAGACAGGCCCGGGAGGGACTCGGGTCTCTGAAGCACGTCAGAGGAGGAGCAGGCGCTGGACCCAAGCAGGAGCCGGCCGAATGCGACCACAGGGATCTTGTCCGCGGGCCCAGGCAGAATGGGAGGGGGGGGAGGCCGTCCCTGGGCTGGCATGCACCCCATGGCGGCTCAGGCAAACCCCAAATCTGGTTTTCCATCAGGCAGAGTTTCAGGGTGTCCCCCCCCCCGAATTCTGCATCCCCCACTTTTAGGTTTTTGAACCATTGCAGAAATAGGAGGTTTTGAAACTACAACTTCCTGGTTGTTTCCTCACCATCAGCCTCGTCATCGTGGCCTCCATAGTCCAAGAAAGTAGCTTTGCAAAGTCCTGGTTTGAATGCTGACTTATTTGGACCCCCTCTTTTCCTGCTGCCCCTCAACATCCCCATTTTCCAGGGAGTCACAGCTTCTCACGCTGTGCCCAAACGACAAGGGCTGGCCGGCCTGCCGGTTTTGTCGTTTTGGCCTCTAGAGAGAGTTTACATCCAAGAGGCACTAGTTTATCTTTTTGGCAACCCCCGGGGGTATCTTCTGTGAGCCTCTCCAGCTTCTCCCTCGCCTCTCCTGCTCTTTAGCATCTCTATGGAGCCATCCTGAGAAGCCTTCCAGCAGCCGAGGCTCTCCGGGCACCTTCACGGGGCCTTGTGTGTGTGTGTGTGTCTGCGGACAGGTTGGCAGGCCTGAGACGCCGCACGCAGGAGCTTCCCTTCTGGTGCCCTCGTGGCTCCCAGAGCTCCCTTTTGAATCCGTTACACTCGGCCCTGGATTCACCCCTGCAACTATGCAACAACAGCCTACACAGGGAGGGCCTGCTCTCCCTCTTACAGGCTGGCAGTGTGTGCTAGAAAAGTTATTATCAAAAGAAAATTAGCAAGTTTTTTTTTCCACCACAGACTGTCAAAGGGGTTTCAAAGAGATCTCTGTTGGAGGCAATTTTTCCCTCATATGTTTTAGGCCATGCTGGTCACCCCCACTCCCCAGTATTGGGACCCTACGCTTCCTTTAGAAGTAGAAAGCCTAATTTTAACATATCTCTGCTTCTACCAAGGCATGGCAGCCTATAAATACTTCCAGCGGACTATAAAGATTTTAAAGCTTCCTGGGAGAGGCGAGAAGGATAGTAAACACTCAGAAAAAAATACCAGAGGAGAACAAGAGGTGACAGCAAGTTAGATGTATGTATTTACAATTATAAGCACATTTTGGAACATTTGCAGGTCAGAGGAATAGACCACAACATCATGCACAACTGAAAGCCATATTGATTATAAGCACATTTTGGAACATTTGCAGGACAGAGGAATATACCACATCATGCACAACTGAAAGCCATATTTAACACAAGTGCTTTACTTTCCACCCATACCAATGAAACACAACGAGTTGAGCTCCTCAGCATAATTGTCGGGAAGGAGGTTCTACGGATGGATCTGGAAACAAGACGCTGTATAAAGACCCATGTGGATCTGACCCAGGGTGTGCCACAGACTGCTCCCTGACGCCGCTTATCCACCCTGGAAGGAAAGTCCAGCCAGCCAGGTCCAGCTGCTACTGCTTGTAGACTATCTTCCCTCCCACAACCCAGCGCTTTATCATCTAGGGCAGGGGTCCCCAAACCTTTTCACCCCACACACTGGCTGGGGAAGGTGGAGCACCCCCGTGCTTGTGCCCATGCGCAAACCTGGGCACGCTGGAGCACGCACGCATGTGCAAATCAGCTGTGTGGGGGTGAGTGAGTGCGGGGGGGGGCATGAAGTCTGTCTCCGCGGCCTAGTCCAGCTCAGGCCACCAACTGGCACCAGGCCGCGGACCAGGGTTTTGGGACCTCTGATCCAGGGCATGCCATTCCACACAAGGTCACAGTCTAGGCAAGCTGGAGGCCGTGTTTCCACTTTTCCACCTGTCGGCAAGAAAGTTATAAGGAACCAAAAGGATGGGGTCTGTCTCGGCCTGAATTCACCTAATTTTCTAGAAGCATGACAGGCAGCCGTGTGGCTGTTCACCAAAAAGGCTAAGAACTGCTGAGCTATCAGGATACAGGGATTGGTGAGAAGCTCGTGGCTACGAAGAGCCATCTGACAAGATCCAACTGAACTATTTCTTTCTTAACGAGACCCTCAGCGACATCCCCAGACAAGCTTCTCCACCTGAAGCCACGACTGCTTCAAATCCTCATTTTGGGCTCGGCCCCGGCAAGAAAGGACGAGCAGGTGAGAGGCACGGAGGACAACCCTGCCTCGTGACAGAAAGGGGCTCCGGGTAACACCTGGGCCACTGGGGAGCTTCCCCGCTGGCCACCGGGAGACCACCTACCCCACCCCGGAAAGTCTTCCCCAGCTAAGCAAATCGCAGGGACATCCCCTCAGCGTCGGCCCTCAGCGCTTCACCCGCCGTTTCTCCAGCTCCTCCTGCACCCGCTGCCTCAGGGCCTCACGCAGAACCGGGTCCAGCGGGTTCTGGACACTGATCTTCTCGACCACCTCGCCAGGGTCGCTGTCCTGCGTGGAGACACAAAGGGAGGACACTGAGGGAGGGCCGTCAAACGAAACAGCCACCTTGCCGTGCAGAAGAGAGGGCCGGGGAAACTCCTTCAAAACTCGTGGGGAAATTCTCGTGCCTCTGAGGCCTCGTTCCCCACCAGGACCCCGGACTCATCCTGCCCCTGGATTAAAGGGTTCATTAATTAGTCTCTCCACAGTGGCCTTTCCTTTGTACGTAGCAGCAGCCGCTTACCTGGTGCACCACCACAGAGGTGACCTTGCCACTCTCCGCCTCATACTCCAGGCAGAAGAGGGCTGGCCCACTGGGGTCCGGGTCCGTACTGGAGCTGCTCTCGCTGGACCCCTCGTACTCGAGGCCAGACGGGGCTTCGGCTTTACCTGGAAAGCAAAAGGGAGATGCCAGAGGGAAGCAGACAGCTTCCTGCCTCCACTGGAACAAGCCAGTCCCAAAGGCAATCCAGCCCTCTCCCCCTCCCAAGGAAGAGACATGACCCTCCATGGATGCAGATGTCACACAGAAAAGGGGCAGGACAGAGGCAGGCAGGCAGGGTGAGTGTGTGCGCGCATGTGTGAACTCACTTCTCCTGCAAGGGTGGTAGACCTGCTGATCTGGTTTCCTAGGTCGGGCTGGAGCTGGCGTGTGTCTCTTCTTCACTTTCTCTTTAGCTTGCTTCATTTCTCTGTCATAGTCATCCCTGGGGAGGAAATGGGAGGCTGAAGCCATGCAAGTCACCGGCAGGACTTTGCTTCCTGTTGCAGGAGGAGGCCGTAGTGTGTGTGTGTGGGGGGGGGCAGTGGCACTTAAGCAGAGGCTTAAAACTCCCCGGCTCATGTCCTGCACTCTGAGTCAAAATTGCCCACCTAGTATGGATTACTGTGTTTTTTTTCCCCTTTGAGAAATATTGTTACACTTAGGAGCAAATTTTACCCTTTTCAGTGGCACTTTTTTGCTTCCACTTGCCCCCCACAAACACAAATGTGACCCCAAAAAATCCACTTTTGGATCTATTTTTGTGGGGCCCCATATTTTACTGCCAAACCATCCGTCCCCGAAGCTTCCAGGCGCCAAGGTG